CCTGACTCCTGGTGTCTGTGTCGTGACTTCGCACCTCTTGCCCCCACCACAATCCTCCTCTCAGAACGAATCCACAGCAACACTGCACATGTGGGTATTCACTTCATATATACATGAACAATCAAACATGTATTTTTACATGCTTCTGAGTTTTCACAAAACACGGAAAAGGAAAGAATAAATCTGAATCTGTATGCATCAATCAGAAAACACATAATAGGTGACCGTTATCATGGCATGATCTCAATTTTATGAGAAAAAGTATTGTGTATGCATATATGAGTATATTGACATGTTTTATGCTTAAACAACATATACTAAAGTAGGGAGAATATGTAGCAAATCTTGGAGAGTGAATACTTATAAGCAAACTTATAAGAGGAATGGAATGGCATTGAGGAAGTTTCATGTCTTTTGTAAGATATTTTTAATGGTTCTCTTCAAAAGAGAAGCATTTGTCCCAGGCAGTTGAGCAAGCAAAACAAATTTAAAGAAAGAGACCACATTTGGCCACATTCTTATAAATATTTCTCCAGCAACAGAAGGTGAATTATACAATTAATCAACAATAAGCAGGTATTTATTAAGCTCACAATAAAGAATTGTCCTATGTGCTTGGCACAGGATAGTTTATAAAGAAGTATAAGATACTATATCTGTTTCTTGCATTATAGGTAAAGAAATAAAACTATTTTATTAACTACAACAGACCCATAAAATTTTAAGGGCTAGTCTAAATTCAACTAGAAATAAAAATACATTAAATTTATTTCCCTAATAGTAATCAAAGCATTTGTTCAGTGATCATTGGGATCTAGGCAGAATACCTAGGCTTTATATGTATTAGTTAATTTTTCACAATCAATTATTATAATCATTTCTATTCTATAGATGAATAAAATGAGATATAGAGAGGCTAAATAACTTGACAGGGTCACACAAGGTGATAGGCCAAGGATTCAAGCCTAGGCATTCCAAGGTTAATATTTCCCTGATTATATTTTGTCTCTCAAACAACTTCAAGTGAAACCTAATATTTATTATTAAGTGATGTTGAAATACTATAATATATTTTGTGTATGCTTCCAAAAGATACATGAAAATATTTTGAAAAAATGTAGAACATTGTGAAACGTAAAATATTTTGACTATAAAGCTTTAGTTTTTGCCTCCCACAGCACAACTCATCTATTCTTTGCTTTCATGCTACAGTGCGTTAGACTGAATTTGACACTTACCAAAATAAATTCATTCTTGAAGAAAATAATATATAACTTTGAGAAACTGATCAGAACTAAGTTTCTTGTTTACTTAAATAGACTAATATGGATTGACCCTGTAATTATAAATTCCAATGCAAAGGAAACACAGAGCAAAATAAGTTATGAACAACCTGATTTATTCTGTTACTACATAAGACTTTGAGAGCAAATGAGATGACGCTTTTTAAAAAAGATTTTATTTATTTATTTGAGAGGTAGAGTTACAGACAATGAGATGGAGAGACAGAAAGGTCTTCCATCCACTTTTTCACTCCTCAAATGGCCACAATGGCTGGAGCTGGGCCTATCCAAAGCCAGGATCCAGAGCCTTCTTCCTGGTCTCCCACACAAGTGCAGAGGCCCAAGCACTTGGGCTATCTTCTACTGCTTTCCCAGGCCACAACAGAGAGCTGGATCGGAAGAGGAACAGTCAGGAATGGAACCGGCACCCATATGGGATGCTAGTGCCACAGCAGAGGATTAACCTACTGAGCCACAGCGCCAGCCCCAAGATGACGTATTTTTTTCTGGCAAATAAAAATTTATTTTAGAAGATAGAGGGGCATTTTTGAGTTTCTTCTGTGTCTCCCACGTGGGTAGCAGGAGTCCAAGGACTTGGCCACCTTCTACTGCTTTCTCAGGCCATAGCAGAAAGCTGCATCGGAAGTGGAGCAGCCAGAACTCAACCGGTGCCCATATGGGATGCCAGCACTACAGGCAGCGGCTTTACCCACTACGCTACAGTGCTGGCCCCAACTATAGTAATTTTTATGCCTAATATGGGACTAACATTAGATCTATAAGGGTGTGAAAGAGTTGAGAAAATCATAAAAGAGGATAGTTATAAAATAAACAAAAATAATTATATTATTTTAACTACACTGTTAGGATGGCTGAAAAATCACAGTTATAATGAATATGCATTTTGGAAAAATATCTTACACTACTCAGCAGGAAGGTCTAATCATATGAAAAGCTAATCACGTGAAAATGTTTGAAAAAGGCTTTTTCTTTCCTTTAACCCAAGTCAGTGGGTTAAATCTCTTCCTTGTTATTCTTTTATGAATTAATTACCCAGCACTATTTCTCTGACTTTAATTATACCAGCACAAAGAAATGCATGGATTAGTTGTAATGCCTATTCATACATTTTACCAATAAGAGATGCAGAGGTCATTGATCTGTCAAAGGTTCTGTAATAACATTCAGGACTTACAACTGCTTCTCAAAGCATCAACACATGCAAGTTACAATGGCAAAGAATTAGGAAAGTGAAAACAGTAAGAATTTCGACCCTCAACTGAATAGTGAAATGTAGGGGAGAAAAAAAGCAAAAGACTACAGTGAAACATATCTCTCAGTTCCTTAGGATGCAAAGGCTTATGCGAGGAAAACTCATTTAAAGAAAACATTTAATGGCATAAGAATTGCATAAGCATTAACAATTAAGGAAAATTTCAAGATAGAGATACATTTAACATGGAATGAAAAAGAAGTAGTTTAAGAATATCTCATTTAAAAAATAGTAAGGCGCTAATTTTAGAATCCTTAATAAAAACTCCTTATCTGTGTGTACCCAGAAACTCTGTAAATACTTAGGTTTTAGAGATTCTTAAAAGAACTCCCACCCTTCTCACTACATGGAGGAGAAACAGTGGGTCAGTGTCATCTTGTGGGGAGGAGAGGGCAGCAAGGGGCTGTAGGTGGGCATCAGTGCCAAGAGACTGAGAACTTGTTCCAAAATAAATGCCTGGAAGAAAGCCAAACTTTCAGTCATCAACATTCAGTCTCTTTTCCACCCAACAAAAAGGAAAAAAACACACACTTAGAAAGGCTGACAAATTAAAAGAGAAACTATCAGAGACCCAAAACTCTAGTTCCTTTCTTAAGTGGATTGGAGAAAACATTAAGGCCACTTCCTTTATATATAGATTATCCTTTTGATGATCTAAGGCCACAGCAAAGGCAGTATTGAGCAATAACCTGAACTCTCATATAGGAAGTGGAGGGAAATATCGTTTATTAAGATGGTCATATTTGGGTTCCTCAGGAAACTGAATAATATTGAAATTTGAGTGGATGGGGGCATGAACCCAAATTCAAACTGCATACAAAGAACTTCAGCTTGAAATCAGCCATTATGATTTTTCTTTGAATTTTTCAGTCAAGCTTTTATTATTTTATTCAGTGATTGGATTGACTGATTTTTAAGGCCTGAAAATCATACATTATCCATCAGCTATGTCCACAGTACAGGTAACAATTCAGACTATTCTTTCTTTGAACTCAGAGAGTGGTTCAAATCTGTTGTTTGTCTACTTTTCCTTCAAAAATCTTCCCAGGGCTAGTGCTGTGGTGTAGCAGGTAGCTGCTGCCTGGAATGCCAGAATCCCATATGGATCCTGGTTCATGTCCCAGTTGCTCCACTTCTGATTCAGCTAATGGCCTGGGAAAAGCAGGGAAAGATGGCTCAAGTACTTGGGCACCTGCTCCTCATGTGAAAAGTCTGGAAGAAGCTCCTGGCTCCTGGCTTCATCCTGGCCTGGCCAGGTTATTGTGGCCATCTGGGAAGTGAATCAGTGGATTGAAGACCTCTTTCTCTGTCTCTCCCTCTCTCTGTAACTACTACTTTCAAATAAATAAATCTCAAAAAAAATTCCTTCCCAGAGACAGAGGTGAACATTATATCATTGAGTAAACAATAAAATATTTATTATTATTTAAAGATTTGTTTTACTTATTTGAAAAGCAGAGTTAGACGAAGAGAGAGAGAGAGAGAGAGAGAGAGAGAGAGAGGGAGAGAGAGAGAATCATCTTTCTGCTGGTTAACTCTTTAAATGGCTATAACAAGCAAGTAAGAGCCAGATGGAAGCCAGGAGCCAGCAACTCCACCCTGGTCTCCCACATGAGTGGTAGGGACCCAAGCACTTGGGCCATTATCTGATGAATTTCCAATCACTTCAGGAGGAAGCTAGGTCACAAGTGGAGCAGCTGGGAAATGAATTGGCACTCCAATAGGGGATGTCAGTGTTGCAAGTGGTGGCTTAACACATTGAGCCACAACACCAGACCCCAATAAAACCTTCTTGAGGCTCATGCTCTTCTCAGTTATGCAGATATGGGTGTGAAAAAACATCCTATGTTCTACAATGGAGAACAATAACAATTCTATATGAACCTTCGTGAACAAACTACTAAATAATATGATTTATCATGAGGCTATAAAAGATTGGAGAAGAGTATGACATAACTCATAAGGAACAGGAAACCAGGCTTGTTACCTTGAAGAGAAAATGCTTTCTGGGACTCACTTTTAGCTGTCAACTAGAGTGTAAATGCAGATGCTAATGAAGATCATTGGACAGAGTATGCATGAAATTTCTCTGGCCCCTATTTTCCTTACCTACAAATACAAGGTAATGCTACATATGGTTAGTTTGGTACAATATTGTGGGTAGGGGCTAGTTATTTGTGGTAAATAACAAGGTTACAGAGACTTTCTCAGAAATTTCAGACTCAATATCTGTATAAGTTAAGATTAGGCTTCGCAGCAAAGGACAAATAATCTTCTGAAACAACAGCTCAAAGGAGATGAAAGTTCATTTTGTCTTGCAGAAATGTTCAGGAAGTGCTTCAGGGCTGCCATGATGCTCTGTGTTATCAGGAACGGACTCCATTCATCTCGATGTTCTGTCCTTTAAGGCTTCAATGACAACACCACATTCCTGAGGACTAGAGCAGGGAAAGGGTCGGAGGACAAGGCAGACCAGGAGCACACCTCGCTCTCCTACACTCCCACATTGGTTGCTATTGGCCATGCCTGGCTGCACGCTCAAAACGTCGAGTCCTCTGCCAGTGGCCATACATCTGAGGCCCTGCCATGCAAGGACCAAGCCCTGGAAGTAACTACTGGTTTCTGGCATTGGTCATTTAATTATTTTAAAGTTGGAAATATTTTCTTTTTGAATGGGTAGAAAAAGAAAAGGTTGTGAACTATGTCAAAAAAGCAAAATAAAGCTGCTTTGTGAATGCTTATCACTGTCTTTTTTTTTTTTTGCCAATGACAAACCATAATTGCATCTATTTATGCTAAAGCAAATGCAAGGATGGTTTAGATACAACAAAAGATTTTTAGCAATTCTTCCACTGTCGCTCCCCCTCTTCGTGGAGGAGCGACACAGGACCCTGCGCTGTTCTTTCTGTCTGCTCGGCCCTCCCCGGGTTTGCTGCTGGTTCTTCCCGGGTTGGCTACTATCCCTTCCACCTCCGTGGAAGGGCAGTTCCCCCTGCCACTTTCCCCACTTCCGCAGGGGAGCGGCACACCGCCGGCCGGCTCTCCCGGGGGCTGCACAGGTGCTCCCTCAGATAGATGTTCCCCTTAGATGTTCCCGGTGCATGCCGTCTCTCTCCTCCTTTATAGTCCTCCTCCGCCAATCCTAACTCGGCTGCCCACACGCCAAGTACGCTGCTCTCCAATCAGGAGCAAGTCCTACAGTTTATTGGTTGAACTGGAGGCAGCTGTGCGGAAGCTGTTTACTTCTCTGCCAGCGCCATATTGTGGGAGAGCAGATGCATAGAATAAGTCTTAATTCCAGTAACTCAGTCTAGTCCGGGTTGCTCCCCACATTCCACGGACTGTATGTCTACACATAGTCAAGCTATGTGCCACATCTATGATTCCATTAAAGCATTGATTAAAACCAACTATGTCAAATCCCCCACTCTTTTTTTTTTAAAGTAAGTAGAAAAACCACTGTTCCTCAGGAGTATAGACAAAGGCTATAAACTATAAAAAACCTCAAAATGTCAGTTTCATTCACATACATTTCATTTCTCATACTCTGTATGTTAGTTACCACAAATCAAGGAAAACATATTTGTCTTTTTGAGACTGGCTTATTTCATTAAGCATAATAGTCTCCAATTGCATCCATTTTGTTATAAAAGATAGGATTTCATTCTTATTTATGAATAGTATTCCATCATGTATATATTCCACAATTTCTTTATGCAGTCATCAGTCAATAGACATTTGATTTGATTGTGAATTGAGCTGCTATAAACAAAAACTCTTTCATATTCTTATTTCATTTCCTTTGGGTAAATTCCCAGGAGTGGAATGGCTGGGTCATATGGTAGGTCTATTTTTAGATTTCTGAGGAATCTCCAAACTGCCTTCCATAGTGGTTGCACTAGTTTACATTCCTGCCAACAGTGGGGTACCTTTTTCCTCATATCCTCACCAATATTTGTTATTTTTTGGTTTTTGGATGATAGTCATTCTAACTGGGGTGAGCTGATTCCTTGTTTTGATTTTTATTTTCATTTCCCTGATGGCTAGTGATCCTGAGTGTCTTCTTATGTGTCTCTTCGCTATTGCTGTCTTTTTTTTTTTAATGATGTATTTATCTATTTGAAAGGTGGAATCAGAGAGAAGGGGAGAGAGAGAGAGGGAGGGAAGGGGGGAGAGAGAAAAAGAGAGAGGGAGACAGAGAGTGAGAGAGAGAGAGAGAGAGAGAGAGAGAATCTTGCATCTACTGGCTCGTTTCCCAAATGGCCACAAGGGCTGAGGATGGACCAGGCTGAATCTAGGAGCTTAGAACTCTATCAGGGTCTCCCACACAAGTCACAGGAACCCAAGAACTCGGGCTGTCTTCTGCTGCTTTCCCAGGCAAATTAGCAGGGAGCTTGTTTCAGAAGTAGATCAGCAAGGTCTTGAACCTATGCTTATATGGGATGCCAATGGTCACAGGTGAGAGCTTAACACCCTGTGCCAAAATGCCAGCCCATCATTGTCTTCTTGATTTTGCAAATTAAAGACTTCTAGTTTCCTCTTCACATATAAGGAACTTGGAAGTCACCACTCTATCCTAATAAATAAAAAATCTGAACAAATTGAAGAAATCAATAAACTTTTCATGGGTAAATAATAGAGGTGGTCACAGAGCAAAACACTGTCCCCAAAGTGGAACACAGGGACAGAAGGCAGATGCAGAGAATTGCAATGTATCAGGTGGGAACCCCTATGAGATCAATGTTGTGGTAGGAATACCTAAACTCTAGCTGATGAATCGCTGGAGGTCAAGTGTGGACAACCTGAGCGGTAAAACTTGGGTGGACCTGGTTGTAAGGGAACCCCTCACTTTTGTGATTTTCAGTATCAGAATCTTGACTAGGTAAAGAGCAAATATTGGAGAAAAATCCTCTCATATTACTGGCATAAGAAGGAGAAATAAATCATTTTCATAGCCACTGGAGCACTCTGTTATTTTTAAGATCTGCTCTCAGGGGAAGTTGTTTACTGGCATAACCTGCTGGGATTCCATTAGAGCCTAACTGACATGAGAGAAGGGAAATATCCAACCCTAGCCCATTGCAGCTATCCTATCCCACCTGGGAAGGGAGGGACTGCAAAACACTTGTGGCATTCACAGTCCAGCATAATAGTCTTACAGAAAAAGACCCAGGCCTAATCACAAGACTTTAGAATACTTACCCTCTCCCTACAACTAACACATCATCAACAGCCTTCATTTTTTTCTTTCTTTCTTTTCCCTTATTTTACTTTTTATAGCAATTGGTACAGATGTTGGAATTATCAGACAAGAAATTTAAAGCAATTATGATTAAGATGCTAAGGACAGAACAAATGGGCATGGGGTGGGCATTTAGCCTACTGTTAACATGCCTGCATCCCATATTGAGTGATCAGGTTCAATTTCCTGTCCAGATCTTGACTCCAGCTTCCTGCAAATGCAGATTCTGGGAGTCAGTCATGCTAGCTCATGTAACTGAGTTCCTGCCACACATGTGGGACCCCAAACCAGCTGAGCCACTGGTACATGATTCTAGCCCAGAGGGGTTGCAGGCATGGAAATCCAGTTCAGGAGAACACTGGAGGTGGAATCACTGCCTGGGAGAGTCACAGCATGCAACTTCAACCCACAAGAGGTCTGGATTTGGGGCTTCAACAGTAGTGGACCTGGAAGGTTGACCATTAAGCCAAAAGGATTATTCCTGAGCTTTAATGTTTAATACTGTTTATCCTATTAGGTTTAGTATTTAACTAAGGCCTGCCACTTCTTTCTTCTGTCCTATATGTCCCTTTTTGAATGGAATTGCCCACCCTATGCCTGTCCCACCATTGTGTTTTAGAAGCACATAAAATGATTGGTCTTTCTTTTTTAAAGATTTATTTATTTTATTTGAAAGGCAGAGTTACAGAGAAAGAGGGAGAGACAGGGAGACAGAGATATCTTCCATTCACTGGTTCACTCCTAAAATGGCCACTATGACTGGAGCTAAGCCAATTTGAAGCCAAGAACCAAGAGCTTCTTCTAGGTCTCCCATGTGGGTGCAGGGGCCCAAATATTTTGCATTTCTTCTGCTTTCCCAGGTGCACTAGCAGGGAGCTGGATAAGAAGTGGAGTAGCTGGGACTTGAATTGGCATCCATATAGGATGCAGGCACTGTAGGTGGCAGCTTTATTAGATATACCACAGCACGGGCCCCAAAATGATTGGTCTTACAGGTTCATACATGGAGAGTAATTTGCCTGAAGATGAACTCTGCCTCATGAATTTCTTGCTTTGTAATAAATATTAGTAACTTTTTTAAAGAAAAAAAATAGTGCATATATGTATATATCTAATGTCTACGTTTGATGTGAATGTGGCAACATGTTTTTATTTTATTTTTATTTATTTATTTTTAATTTTTTGACAGGCAGAGTGGACAGTGAGAGAGAGAGACAGAGAGAAAGGTCTTCCTTTGCCGTTGGTTCACCCTCCAATGGCCTCCGCGGCCGGTGCGCTGCGGCCAGCGCATCGCGCTGATCCGATGGCAGGAGCCAGGTACTTATCCTGGTCTCCCATGGGGTGCAGGGCCCAAGCACTTGGGCCATCCTCCACTGCACTCCCTGGCCACAGCAGAGAGCTGGCCTGGAAGAGGGGCAACTGGGACAGAATCCGGTACCCCGACGGGGACTAGAACCCGGTGTGCCAGCGCCACAAGGCGGAGGATTAGCCTAGTGAGCTGCGGCGCCAGCCAACATGTTTTTAAAAGTTGTTAAATTTTAGAACTAAAACAACTATAAAAAATTTTTACAATTTCAACAAACTCTCAGTTGTCACTCAGATCGGAATTAGGTGATACTGACTTTTGGATTAGACTTTTAAGTTAATGGAAAGTAGCTGAGACTTTGGAAGCTATTTGGATGGAATGATTGCAATTTACATGTAATAAAGACATGAATTTTCAGGTGTCAGTAGTGGAATAATTGTGTCCATCCCAAATTGATATGTTGAATCTTAATTGGCAATGAAAGGGTGTTTGCAGGGGGGACACAGGGGAGGTGACTAGGGTGTGAGGGTAAAACACTCTCAAGTGAGCTTGGTGCCCTCATGAAAGAGACCCCAGAGAACTCCGTGACCCCTGATGCCATGTGAGGACACAGTGAAGACAGCTGTCTATGAACTAGGGAGCAGGGCCAAACCAGATACCAAGTATGCCAGTTTCTTGATTCCTGTGTTTACCAGCTTCCACAACTGTTAGGAAAAATTTTTTTTGCTGTTTATAATTCACCCAATCCATGGTGTTCCCTTACAGCAGCCCAAATGAACTGGGACATGGACTGAATAAAAAGGAGTATTTTAAACAACAGTAACTAAGAATTATCCCAAATATATGTCAGACACCAAAATACAGATCCAGGAATTGTAGAGAACACCCAGCAGGATAAATACCAAAAGCCTACACCTACAAATATCATTTTCAAACACAGAAAATCGAAGGTAAAGAAAAACCCTGAAAGAAACCGGAGGAAAAACTCCTTACCTATAAAGGAGGAAAACTAAGCATTACATCTGACTTCTCAGAAACATCATTGTAAGAGGAGTAGGGTAAAACACTTAGAGCATTGACAGAGAAAATTCCCAACAGAGCATTCAGGACCTTGAAAAAGCATCCTTCAAAAATGAAGAGGAAAGCGTGGGTGTTGTGGTGCAGCAGGTTAACCCACTGCTTGGGACACCTGTGTCCCATATAGGAGTGCTGGATCCAGTGCTGGCTGCTCCATGCGTCTATCGCTAATGCACCTGGGAAGGAAGAAGAATATGGCCCAACTACTTTTTTCTCTGTCACCCATGTGGGAGGCTCAAATGGAGTTCCTGGCTCAGGTCTGACTCAGCCCTAGCTGTTGTTGGGCACTTGGGAAGTGAACGAACAGATAAACAACATCTCTGTTTCTCACCCCTCTTTCTCTGTCACTCTGCCTTTCAAATAAATGAGTCTTTAAAAAATGAAGAAGTACTTTCTAAGAGAAACAAGATTTGAGGGACTTTGCTGTTAATATAGTTGTGATTCAAGAAAATAATATAGGTCATAAATTCAATTCTACATGAAGAAAGGAAGTAAATCAAGGAAGCATCATAGTGCAGTTAAATATTTGGAAGGAGATTTTTTTTATTTAGTTCAATGGGAAATACAAGACACTGACTATATCTGAACAGGGGAATGCCATAATTATAGCTCTATTTTAAAGAAATTAATGACAAATACAACATGATCTTGGGTTGGATCTTGAACAACCAATACAAAAAAAAGTAGGACAACTGGAAAATTTGAATTATACTTCTAAATTATAGCATTTTATTAATACTATTTTCTGATATTAATGCATTATACTACTATGTTAATGATGAAAGATGCCCTCTTTGAAGTTTTTTTTAGTGTTATTATTATTTGAAAGTCAGAGAGAAAAACAGCTGAATAGCCAGCCAGAAAGTGCAACCATCTTCTGGTTCATTCACTAATGGCCACAATGGCCTGGGCTGAGCCAGGCTGAAGTCAGGAGCCAGCAACTCAGTCTGTATCTTCCACATGCATGGCAGGATCCCCAACATTGAGGTGTCACCTCCTGCCTCCTAGGGTCTGCATTAGGAAACTGGAACACTCTGATATTGAACACAGATATCCTAAACAGTGACTTGACCTGCTAAGCCATATACCCACCCTAGAATATGTTCTTAAAAGAAACACACTCTTGAGTATGTATAAGTTAAGGGCCATCATATCTGCAATTTTAAATATTTTAGAAGAAAATGTCTTATGCATATGCAGTAGAGGGGGAAATAAAACAAGTATGAGAAAATATTGACATTTGGGGAATTTGGATGAAGGCTACACAAGAATCTTTTGTGATATTTTTTCAACTTTAAAAACCTTTATTTTCCTTATTCTTATTTGGTGTATGACAGGTCAGCTACAGAGAAGGCTTACTATGCTGCCCTTCCACCAATGCAAGCCTGATAGAGCTGTGACCTGTAGAGCACCAGGGAATGTGCCCAACAGTTTTGACCACAAGCCAATTGTGCTTGTTTATTCATGTACTATGTGCTATTGTGTGCTGTGGCTGGGCAGTGTGGAAGGTAAGACCAAGTAGTCACCATTGGTCCCTCCAGTACGTCAAGGTAAATGTCTCCCAACAAGACTTCTGGGCGGTTTTCTTTGGAATTAATGAATGTTACGTGTGAACCCTCTTGAACTTGTGGGCCACACTGTACAAGTTCTGGTTTTGCAAAATAATCCTGACAAAAATATACTTGATTATGAATGCTTTTATATAACATACATAAAGATACTTCAAAAAGTTTTGGAAAGTGGAATTAAAAGATAAGTTGATTTTGGTGTAAAAAATGTGACATTCATGCATCATTTCTTCATAATATACATTCTCCATGATTTTTATAAGCATATATATGCTTATGTATACTGTTATATAAGTGAAAGGATAACAGTAGTAATACAAGTGTTGGGATGGAGCAATTATGATAATTTTGATAATACAAGGTATTCACACTACCCATAAAGTAGTATTGTTTTATTTTAGAGTGGGCTTTGATTAGTTCTAAATCAGTATTGCAACTCTAGGTTACACCAACAAAGAAAGATAATTTAGACATGCTAAGAAAGAAAAAAAATGAAATGATAAAATGTTCATAAAATATTCAATTAAAACAACAAAAGGCATAAAGAGAGGATAAGACAAAAATAGGAACAAAGAAAAGGACAACAAAGAAAATAGTAGCAAGTGTGGTTGATCTTCATCTAACAATATCAATAACACCGTTGATTCAGTAATTTTAATGCACCAATTAAAGAATAGGCCTTCAGAGGGGATCAAAAACAAGACCCAAGTATCTAATGTCTATAAGAAACTACTTTAAACATAAATAACATACAGTTTAGAAGGAATGAGAAAACATGCTAAAACTAATCAGTACAAAGTAGGAATAGGTTTATTAATTTTAGATGGAACAGATCTTAAAAAAGCATGGAAATTTATCAGTGATAGAGAAGGGTACTGCATAATGATAAAAGGGTAATCAATTATCTAAGAAGACACAAGCTACAACAGGAATGCACATAAAAACAGATCAACAAAATATGTGAAGCAAATGGGTGGGCATTTGAACTGGTCATTAAGATACCAGTTAGGGTGTCCACATCCCATATTGAAGTGTCTAGATTCAGGTCTTGCCTGTGCTCCTGATTCCAGCTTCTTGATAATGTGCACCCCAGGAGGAAGCAGATGATGGCTCAAACAATTGGTCCCTGCCACCCACATGGAAGACCTGGATTGAGTTACCAGCTCTGGGCTTTAGTCTGGCTAGCTCCAGCTATTGTCAGCATTTGGGAAGTGAACCAGTGAATGGGAACATTCTTTCTCTCTCTCTCTCTCTCTCTCTCTCTAATAAATAAATTAAAAAATATATGTGAGGGAAAAACTAATGGAATTATATGGAGACATATATCCATTCACTGTTATATATTATTCAGGCAGAGAATCAGTAAGGACATAGTTTAACTCAGTATCACCACCAATCAACTGCATATAATTGACATAGATTATTTCACCCAACAGCCACAGAACACAACACTCTTCTGAAGCTCTCACGGAACATTCACCAAGATAGACCACATTTTGAACCATAAAACACACCTTAACAAATTTACATGAATATATATGTGAGGCCGGCACTGTGGCATAGTGGGTAAAACTACTGCCTGTAATGCCAGCATCCCATATGGGTGCTGGTTTGAGTCCCAGCTGTTCCTCTTCTGATCCAGCTCTCTGCTGTGGCCTGGGAAAGTAGGAGAAGATGGCCCAAGTCCTTGGGGCCCTGCACCCATGTGGGAGACCCGGAAGAAGCTCCTGGCTCCTGGCTTCTAGCTTCAGATCAGCGCAGCTCCTGCCATTGTGGCCATGTGGGAAGAGAACCAGTGGATGAAAGGCCTCTCTCTATCTCTCTGCCTCTGCCTCTCTGTAACTCTGCCTTTCAAATAAATAAATCTTTAAAAAAATAAATGGATATCATAAATCTGCTGTAATACCACAATGTAATTAATACTTTAGTTAATAACACAAATAACTAGAAGATTCCAAACTATGTGGAGTATAAACAATATAATTCTAAATACATGGGTCAAAAAACAAATCTCAAGATAAATTTTAAACAGCGATAATGAAACACAAGTTATCAAAAATTTGTAGGATACATAGAAAGCAGTGTTTAGAGGGAAATTTATACCCCTGAATGGAATTAAGAAGAAATATCTAAAAATCAATCATCTAAGCTTCTACCTTAGAAAATGAAAATTAAATCCAAAGTAAGCAGAAGAACGAATAACTCAGCAAATACATACCAAGCTCTGTGCATTCAAAAATGGAAAGAACAAAGTCCTGCCTTCAAAATGAGTATTATTTAGTGATATGTAGATATATAAATAGCTTCATATTATTAGAGAAAGGAAATAACCATGAGTAATTTTTCATTCTAGACACAAATGTAAAGGACCAGAACATATATGAGGTTTTCAAAAAGTTAATTGAGAATGCATATTATTAAAACAAACTATACATACATTTCAAAAAATTTTTGCACCAAAATATTTTAATTCCACTTTCCATGAACGTTTTGAAGTACTCTCTCTTTCATGGTCTTCTGAAGAGTGTCACAGAGCTATACACTTTCACAATCAGGGAAGCCACAGGTTGAATGGCTTCCCATGCTACAAAACCATGAACATACAAAGTAAATATGGGCTGGGGATCAAGAAAAGGCAGAATAACAGATTTTGCTCAAATGTTCATCATACTGACAAAGTTTGATGGTTCCTTTACAAATAGTCACTTTCTGGAATTTATGTAATGATCTTGAATTGTGAGATAGTTTAGCTGCTGACAACATAAGCTACTATTAGAAAAATGCCTTTTCATATCTCAAAAAAGTTCTGTTTTCTCACTTTTTTCAGTTTTCCTATTGGTGACTGTGGTAACAGAAGAAAGCCTTAAGCCCACAGTGATAAGAGAGAGAGGTTATTTTTCTCTCTTGGCAGTTAGCAGGGGTATTTATATGAGGGTTCATTAATAAGCATTTTCATTATCAGTGTAGTGAAAATTCCTTGTAAAAGTGTTTGGAAACAGAACTAGCTCTCACTGAGACATCCACTCATTCATTCAACCAATATTTTTCTCTCTCACAAAAAAGTCAAGTAATCACTGGGCACTACTCAGTAAGAAATGAGGAAGGTGTAGTGTTGGCCTTGTGTTTACACAGAAGTTTGCTGTATAGGTAACACATTTCCTACAATCTGACATTCTATGGTGGTAGAATTGACTATATAATTTTTATTTCTTCATTCATTAGTATATAGGTACTGACTTCCTTCTAAGTACCAAGAACTGCGCTACACATAAAACAGGGTATAGAAAACAGGCACAGCCTGTGTTCTCAAACAGCATGTAATCTAGTTGGGGCAGACTAAGGCAGAATGGTTAGTTTCCTAAATAATTTCCATTCTGCCTTCTTCCTCTCTGGAAGAAGCTGAAGGGGCACAAAGGTATTATACCGTTCCTTCTCTGTAAGGTCATGGCTGAAACGCCTGTAACAAAAGACAAGAGAAAAGCATGATATGTTTATGTAGTCAAAGTTTTTCTTTCTTTAAGATTTATTTATTTGAAAGGCAGAGTGACAAAAAGAGACACTCCTCAAATGGCCACCACAGTCAGGTCTGGGCCAGGTCAAAGCCAGGAGCCAGGAACTCCATTTTGGTCTCTCACTTGGATGGCAGGGGCCCAAGTATTTGGGTCATCTTTTTCTGACTTCCCAGATGCATTAGCAGGAAGCTGGAATAGAAACTGGGTAGCCAGAATTAGAACTAGCACTCCAACATGGGATACTAAGCATTGCATTTGGTGGCTTAACCCATTGTACCACAACACTGGCTCCCTAATCAAAGTTGTATATGACATTTTCAGAAATGAAGATCCAGGCCAGCACCGCAGCTCACTTGGCTAGTCCTCCACCTGCGGCGCCAGCACCCGGGGTTCTAGTCCCGGTTGGGGCGCCGGATTCTGTCCCAGTTGCTCCTCTTCCAGTCCAGCTCTCTGCTGTGGCCTGGGAGTGCAGTGGAGGATGACCCAAGTGCTTGGGTCCTGCATCCATATGGGAGACCAGGAGGAAGCACCTGGCTCCTGGCTTCGGATTGGTACAGCATGCCAGCCATAGTGGCCATTTGGGGGGTGAACCAGCGGAAAGAAGACCTTTCTCTCTGTCCCTCTCTCTGTCACTGTCTAACTCTGCCTGTCAAAAAAATAAAATAAATTTTAAAAAAAGAAATGAAGATCCAAATATGGAAAGAAAAGAGTCAGTTCGTATGCTTAGGTCTGATGAAGAATGGACAATGAGGTAGAAATGTGATGACACAAAAGGTATGGTTTAATGGTAACAGACTGAGGGAAATAGGGCAAGGCCTATCTGCTGATTCACCTGGCCTCTTGGTACAGCATTCTTCTGTGTAGGTATAGGAGAAGACTCCTCTGGAATGAGGGTCTTTACGGGAGAAGGGAAAGCATGACCATTGTGCTTTCATGGCTTGCTTTTGGGCAGAGGGATTCTAGTTTCTTTGATCCAGCTTGGGGAAAAGTAATTTTGGTTTCTGATTCATTTCAGGGAAGAAAGATGAGTGGGAGACAGGAGAGCAGAAATTCAGAAAGACTGCTTATGAGGCTCTGTCCAAGGCCTTCCAGTTTCCTTTAGTTCAAAGTACTCAGCGTGCCAAAGCCCAATCCTCTTGGGTATCATTTCTGAGCTCCAACAAAGTCTCATTCATGCCTAGGGTACAATTCATTCAGCCACAGATAATGAGTGATGATAAGTCTAAATCCATGATTCCCAAACTGTGTACCCACACCCTAAGAGTGCCAAAGTAAACTCGCTGGGGCATAATCAGATATTTCAAATCTTCAGGGGAAGCAGAGTGGGACTCAACAAGCTGTCAGACAGCACATGAACAACCAGCTTGAGGTAATTCACAATTTCCACACGAGATTGTGCTACATTCCTTTAGTCTATCATATCATTGCTAAGTTGGGCCTTCAGTGGTGGCTGTGATAAAAAGTAACTATGGTGAAAGATGAGGATGGCATTGTTAAATCTGATCCCTTAGTAACTAATTACTTCAGAAAGAAAAAAGTAATACTTTTGCTTCAAATTTTATTATTTTTTGAATGGCTATTAACTTATAAATGGAACTTATGTGTAGGTTTTTCTTGTTGTTGTTTTTCTTGGCACCATGAAAAAAAAATTACTGAAACCCCAAGGGGATTGTGAATCAAGAAAGTTTGGGAACCTTTAGCCAAAGTCAATCCTGTCAATCCCATTTCCTGCTTCCCCAGATTCCTTGCATCTAGGGGTAATCACTGTGACCCAATTCTGATCTAAGCAGAAATCAGTCAGGGTAGAGCAAGAGAGAGGTTCCTGCAAGAGCATTTGCTTTCTTGATAAAAAGGGACAACACGAATAACTGCTATTTCTCCTTTAACAATCCAGTTTCTTTTATAATGGAATCTCCCAAGTTTCAGTGAAAGACCACAAATTCCAGCTTCATTTCCTTCCAATTGTGTCCAATTAACAAGCTCTGGCTAAATGTACATGAGCAGAAATAATGCATGCAAGTTCTGGATCACATTCTTTAAAAGGAATGGGTGTCTCTTCTGCTTCTCTCTCCTTTCTCTCTCCTTTCTTGATTTAGAAGAGTAGCCTCTAAATACATAGATAATTACCAGGGGCCAGCACTGTGGCATAGCAGGTTAAAGCCCTGGCCTGAAGCACTGGCATCCCATATGGGTGCCGGTTCCAGACTTGGCTGCTCCACTCCCGATCCAGCTCTCTGCTATGGCCTGGGAAAGCAGTACAAGATGGCCAAGTCCTTGGGCCCCTGTACCCAAGTGGGAGACCTGGAAGAATCTCCTGGCTCCTGGCTTTTGATTGGCGCAGCTCTGGCTGTTGTGGCCAATTGGGGAGCGAACCATCGGATGGAAGACCTCTCTTTCTCTCTCCCTCCTTCTCTCTGCCTCTCCTCTCTCTGTGTAACTCTGACTTTCAATTAAATAAATAAGTATTTTTTAAAAAAGGATAATAACCAAAGAACTGAGATCAGACTGTCAGGCCTCTTTATTTCTAATCCAGTACTCTTTTTAAATTTTATTTTATTCTTTGCTTTATAACAAAACATTAATTTCAAAAAATAATATAATGTTGTATTCATTAAAATTTATATTTGGCAAATCTCACAGTATGAAGGACCTACAAAAATGTCAGAGAAAATGCAAATTATGAAAAAAAACTATGCATGGATCTCAAAAATGTTTTGCATTAAGATGAACTAATCTTTTAATTTTATTTTTCACCAACTTTTTAGAAAGTATTATTTAAGTTAGACAAATTTCATATATACAGATTTAGGAACATAGAATACTTCCCACCTTACCCTCCTTCCCGCCCACATCCCAACTTTTCTCCTCCTTCTCTATATACTGTACTCATTGAGGTCTTTAAAATCTCTTCATTAGAATTCTGTTCACTATATTCTTACATGTTAATATTATAAAGTCTCTTTGATATGATGTAGTGTTATTTATTCAAAATGATAATAAACTTCATTTTTATAATGCATAGGCTATAGAGCATTTTGGTTAAGAAATAAGATTTGGTTAGTGGGTCAGCTGAGTTCCTTAACCTGTAAAGGTAAGGACCAGACACCGAGTCACGGTGGTTACCACTTCAAGGTGTAGGTCACATGAGACTTGGTGGGTTTCTATAACTAGGAACAGCAGAAAGGCAGGGCTTTCACCATTGCTCTGTCAACAGGGGTTTCTCTCAGTCAGGAGTAGGAATAGGAAAGATTGTCTCATCTGCTATGGGATGCAGGAAGCTTTACTTTATGTAAAACAATTGAAATAAAATGACATACAGAAATACAATGACAAAAGGACACAAGAATAGACATGGATTTTAAGATTATAAAATGGCAAAATAATTCACAGAAGGATTAACAAGGATTGAAAAATCATATCTGAGACAGTTGACTTGTTAACTTAGTTGTTGAGAGTTTCATAAGAAAAAGTTAAAAGGATATCAAGCACAATAAATTTTTATTTCTTTGTTAAGATTTATTTTATTTATTTGACATGTAGAATTAGAGAGAGAGAGAGAGAGAGAGAGGTCTTCCATCTGCTGATTCACTCCCCAAATGGTCACAACAATCGGGGCTTGGCTAGGCCAAAGCCAAGAGCCAGGAGCTTCTTCTGGGTCTCCCATGTCGGTGCAGGGGCCCTCCATTGTTTTCTCATGCACACGAGCAGGGAGCTGGATCAGAAGTGGAACAGCTGAAACTTGAACCAGAGCCCATATGGGATGCCTGTGCTGTAGGCCAGGGCTTTAACCCACTGTACCACAGTGCTGGCCCAAAATTTTTATTTTCTTAAAATACATAACAAAACTTCTACTTATCCATCATGCTTAGAATCATACCACATCACAAAAGTACTGTTTCTCTAAAATATTCAAAAAGAGTAGTTAAATCTCTAAAGAGATTATGATGGCTGAAGATATCTACAAGGTATACCTAGATACTCTACTCCAATCCATCTGCAGAACTTCAGACAGAAAGGTATAGTGTTTATACAGTCAAGGTCACAAGTTAAGAGCCACAACTTTATGGTGATCCATAGATCTTCATGTTTTGTGGCACTGTCACTGATGGCATCCCCCAAGAGAGATTACAGTCATATTTTTTTGCTATGCCTGTATGATGTGCACCACATTCTTTCAGTATATATACCACAGCTTCATTGGAGTAACCACCCACAGGGAGTACCTAGGAGAAGAAAAAAAGGAAGATTGTGACCACTAACATTTTATAAGTGTTACATTTTGACTATTATTTCCCTTTAACTGTGGGGCTCATGTAAAGTGGGTGACTCATTTGTGTAATTAAAATTGTTTTTAGGGGCTGGTGTTGTGGTATAGGGGGTTAAGCCGTCACCTGAGATGCTGGCATCTGAAATGGGCACCAGTTTGAGTCCTGGCTGCTCCACTTCTGATGCAGCTCTCTGCTAATAATGTGCCTGGGAAGGTAGCAGAGGATGGGGCAAGGGCTTTGGCCCCTGACACCCATGTGGGAGATCTGGATGAAGCTATGGGCTCCTGGCTTTGGCCTGGCCCAACACTGGTCATTGTGGTCATTTGGGGAGTGAAGAAGCTGATGGAAGGTTTCTCTGTCTGTCTCTTCCTCTTGCTTTGTTAATTCTTTCAAATAAATGAATAAATATTTTTTAAAAACTGTTTTTGCACAAAGATGGAAATGACTGGGGAGTTTATCTAGCATCTAACTGAAAATAAAATGGAGGCATATTGCTTGTATCAGTAGAAGGTAAACAAAGTACACAGGAGATTCAACGAAGTCATGTAGGAAAAAACCAAAGGGGTATTTAAAAGAGGCATTTCAAGTGAAAAGTACCTCATATTATTCATTCAGGTGATAACAAACTTGGTGGTTCCTTTTTGGAAAGGGCTTGATGTCTATATATTCATCCTTATAAGTGAGAAGAAACTGGGCTAAACACCTAAGGTACTAGGAAGTTGGAAATCTGATCTGCCGAATCTGACTGCTGATTCTCTGCTCCTGCTTCTCTCCCCATCTACTTTCCAACCTTATGAATGGATCCAAACACAGTATGTATCTTTTTTCAAAGAGAGAAGGAAATCCAGTAAATAGCTTCCCTTATTAATTTTAAAAATGACTAGGGGCTGGCGCTATGGTGCAGCAGGTTAAAGCCCTGGCCTACAGCACTGGCATCCCATATGGGTGCTGGTTCAAGTCCTGCCTGCTCCACTTCGATCCAGCTCTCTGCTAATGTGCCTAGGAAAGCAGCAGAGGATGGCTTAAGCACTTGGGCATCTGTACCCACATGAGAGATTTGAAAGAAGCTCCTGGTTCCCAGCTTTGGCCTGGCCCAGCCCTGGCCATTGCCGCCATTTGGGGAGTGAACCAACAGATAGAAGATCTCTCCTCTCTCTACTTCTCTGTAATGCTACCTGTCAAATAAATTAAATAAAACTTAAAAAACAGTGACTTGATCAGCCCTTGTCCTGACTGTTGATGTACAATGTAAACTTTATCCCTTTTAGTATTTTTTTTTTTGTTCTAGTACTATTGGTTGAACTCTGTAATTAACACAGAATTATTCTTAGGTGTTTAAATTTAACTGAAAAGTGATCCCTGTTAAATATAAGAGTGGGAATAAGAGAGGGAGGAGATTTGGGACATGCTCAGTCGGACTTGCCCCAAATGGTGGAGTTAGAAACATGCCAGGGGATTCCAATTCAATCCCATCAAGGTGGCATACACCAATGCCATCTCACTAGTCCAAGTGATCAATTTCAGGTCACAATTGATCACACTGATAGGTCTAAGAGTCAAAGGGACCACACAAACAAGACTAGTGTCTGCTAATACTAACTCATAGAATAAAAAAGGGAGAGAACGATCCAACATGGGAAGCAGGATACACAGCAGACTCATAGAATGTCAGATGTCCTAAACAGCACTCTGGCCTCAGAATCAGCTCTTAAGGCATTTGGATCTGGCTGAACAGCCCATGAGAGTATTTTAGGCATGGAAAGCCAAGACACTCTGCCAAAAAAAAAAAAAAAAAAAAAAAAAAAAGAAGAAGAAGAAGACCTAAATGAAAGATCTCTGTGAGTGAGATTCCAGTGGAAAAGAAAGAAGGGGGCCATCAAAGAAGGAGGTACCTTTCTCTGAAGGGAGGAGAGAACTTCCACTTTGACTATGACCTTGTCTAAATAAAATCGAAGGTGGCGAACTCAAAAGGCTTCCATAGCCTTGGCAACTCATGACAAGAGCCTAGGGAGATTACTGACTCCATAAGCAAGAGTGTCAAGTTGTTAAGTCAACAACAGGAGTCACTGTGTACTTACTGCTCATGTGGGATCTGTCCTTAATGTGTTGTTCAATGTGAAGTAATGCTATAACTAGTACTCAAACAGTATTTTACACTTTGTGTTTCTGTGTGGGTGCAAACTGATGAAATCTTTATTAATATATACTAAATCGATCTTCTGTATATAAAGATAATTGAAAATGAATCTTGATGTGAATGGAATGGGAGAGGTTGCGGGAGATGGGAGGGGCGCGAGTGGGAGGGAAATTATTTGGGGGGGAAACCATTGTAATTCATAAACTGTACTTGGAAATTTATATTTACTAAATAAAAGTTAAAAAAAATAACTGTAGCATGTGGTGTGCTTTTTGGTTTTGGTACTTTGTGCATGCTAAATGCAACCTGTGGCATTTGGTATTTGCCAAATGATCAATAACATGAATTCAAAAATATTATTTTTTTTTAGGTATTAGGAGTAACACAGTTGTTCCTTGTGCAAGTTTCATTATTTTTATTTTTGTTATTTTATTTTTTTAGAGAGAAAGAAGGAAAAGAGAGTGGAAGAGAGAGCAAGAGATACAGAGAGAGAGAGAGGGAGATATCTTCCATCTGCTGATTCACTCCTCAAATCGCCACAACAGCAGGGGCTGGACCAGGATGAAGCCAAGAGCCAAGAGCTTCTTCCAGGTCTCCCATATGGGTGGGGGAGCCCAAGCACCTGGGCCATCTTCTGCTGCTTTCCCATGAGCATTAGCAGGGAGCTGGATTGGAAGCATGTTACTGTTGTTGGGACTCGAACCTGTGCCCATATGGGATGCTGGCACTGCAGGTGGAGGGTTACCTGCTCCACCACAATGCTGGTCTCAGAAATAGTAATTTTTAAAACCCCATATTTAGGCCGGCGCCGCGGCTCACTAGGCTAATCCTCCGCCTAGCGGCGCCGGCACACCGGGTTCTAGTCCCGGTTGGGGCGCCGGATTCTGTCCCGGTTGTCCCTCTTCCAGGCCAGCTCTCTGCTGTGGCCAGGGAGTGCAGTGGAGGATGGCCCAGGTGCTTGGGCCCTGCACCCCATGGGAGACCAGGAAAAGCACCTGGCTCCTGGCTCCTGCCATCGGATCAGCATGGTGCGCCGGCCGCAGCGCGCCGGCCGCGGCGGCCATTGGAGGGTGAACCAACGGCAAAAGGAAGACCTTTCTCTCTGTCTCTCTCTCTCACTGTCCACTCTGCCTGTCAAAAATTAAAAAAAAAAAACAACAACAAACCATATTTAAAAATCAAAAAAGAAATAAGTATACCAACAAAGACTTTGTTACTTGTAAAACTTTACTCATATTATTATTAATGATAATATAATTATTAGCCCATAAGTACCTAGGGAATTTATTTATCATAAAAATAGTAAAATTATATAAAAAGTTATAAAATGTGGAAAAATATAGAAAATGAGAAAGGATTACAGGCTTAATGTGAAACGAGACACAAGACTGACTAAAAGTTTCTACCCTTCCAGCTAGCTAGGTCAACTCCAATCCCCATCCTTTTTTTGTTTGTTTTTCAAACTCATCACAGTCTCCAAGCATTCCATTTCTTCTACTATCCCGTATTCCTCTATCCTCTCTCCTTAATTCTATTCTAATCCATCTTTGAGTCCATGGGACAGCAATCCCACTTTTGCTGATATCTCAGTTTTCCCTATTCTACTATTCGTTTCATATCCCATCTGACTACCCACAATGGCCTTCTCTCATCTCACTTCTTCCAGTGTTCTAGATCTCTCCAAATTCTGGGGCTTCGCATATTTTGTAGCCTCTGCCTAAAATACTCGTTCATGTCTTTCAATCCCCTTAGTCCCTTCCTGCTTCACCTCTTTAGTTCCTCTTCCTTCTACAACTCTCCATCTAAACCTTACATCAGAGATGTTATCCTTAACTCTCAGCCTAATTTTATCTCTTCTAAAGATCCTACACAGTCCCTTGTAAAACCTGTGACACCGGAAATAGTTACCATGATTGATTTTGTGTTAGATTATAGACTCCATTAGAATGGGTACCAACTCTGTTCCAGTCATTGCAAAATTTCCTGCTCTAGTTTATTAGTTGGCTTGCTAGCATTTGATAAATATATGTTCCATGAATGAAAGAAAGAAACGAGAGAGACCTTACCCATTCAGCTGGGAAATCAAGGAAGGACTTATGGAAGAGGAGACTTGTGAGATAAGCTTTGAAATTTGTGCACAGTGTTGACATTCACGGAGAGGCTAGGAGATGAGTGAGCCATTGGGAACTAAAGGAAGAAGGAGCAGTTCACTCTGCCTATAGAGGACAGGCCATAAAAGAGAAGAAAAAGTGAGGTTGGAAAGTAAGGTCATCATACTGTGGTGGTGGGAGGTCTGTTTTGGAAATTAATACTTAATTTTGTAGTTAAAGGAGAAACAACGAAGGATGGTTCACAGATTAAATAAAAGAAGAAAGAGAATGCATATAATAAATTTCTTGAACTCAGAAGACACTGCAGATGAGGAAAAATAAAATGTTAAAATGACCAACAGATTGTAGGTAGTGAAAAAGACAAAAGGGACCGTGGAATATATGTTCAAGGTAGATTCTGTGGAGAAAGACTAAAATGCTGACCTGAAATATTTGAAGGGGACCAGGAAGAGAGCTAAGCCAGCATGCCTCTTGTGAGTATTGTGGGAGTAACCAAAAGATGGGATCAGGGACAGTAAGCAGAGAGAAATGATGAGCTGGTTTTGTGACACTGTTAAATTATTTTAACAATTTCTCTAGAATACTGTATTCTTGGGGTTAACACTGTAAATCAGCAGATAAAGATTAATGGATTAATGCAGAACTTTTGCTTCAATGAGCTTTTATATTTATACTTCTGGTCATTCCCTCAGTCCGTTTTTATGCTT